TTGTGGATATCACGGTTTCGGACAACCCAGTTGGAATGTCAACCGAGGTACACGTGCAGTGAAAGGAAGAACCGAGCTAGTTGGAGCTCGGTCTAGTCTGCGGCTTCAGCGTGGCTATGTTATCTCGGTCGTATTGACATCCAACCATGGTAAAACCATCTCACTTGGTTTAAGCAGTGAGGGGGATGTTGAGGGATAAGCATTATCTTTCAAGAATGTGATTCCTAGGATGACTCTACATGGAGGAGTAAGAGTCCTATTAGGATTGTGCCACACGGAACCTATAAAAGCTCATAACATCACCTATGGAGAGGTAACACAACTTTGATTCCCAAATATACAGAACTTTTTGTCTATTTGTCTATTTTGCTGACTTAGGCATCGGAGAGGTATCTGGTACACACCCACCGGCTAGCTCACGTTTGTGTTTTCAGGGAGTAAAGCGACGTCGTACGGAGGAGCGCAGACTTGATCAACAGGATTACACGAGAAAGAATATTTCTTGCTCGTACAAAAGCAGAGGTAACTTTGGTGTTAGCCATAGCCGTGATTAGCAAGTGATTTCAAATTATATAAAGCGAATAAATAATCAAACTAACTAACAAAATAATTTATATGAATAGAAAGATTAGAGTTCAGAAATAACCAGTGAGAATTTGGGAGTCATGTTGTCATTATTTTAAAACTATTTTTCGTCCTTTCATGAAGGTATTGGTGGAGTAAAACAGTTCCAAGATAAAACCCAAAAGTGCTGACAATAGTCTTCTTCTAGTGGTCATGAACACTATGAGGTTTGAACCAAATCACGAATCAAATTGCGCAAAAGTAATAATTATATAATAATATGTATTTGGGTATATATGAAATATATTGATCAAGCTTATGAATAAAACAATGAATTGATAAAGGCTCTCAATGTTTTTTTTCTTTTTTTTCGTATGTACCTAGGGATGGCAATGGGCCGGGTAGGGCAGGGCAAGGCCGGGGATCACACTCCCTGTCCCTAATCCCCAATGGTGAAAATTTCTCCGTCTCTGGCCCCGATCCCCGATGGAGAACCTATCATCGTCCCCATCCCCGCCTTCTAATGAGGATCGGGTTTTCCTGATCTGAAAAATTTTCCGACCCAAAAAAAAAGAAAAGATCAACTACTAAAATCATTGACAATAGATCATCAACAGATCAACATCATCAATAACATCATCAAATAGATCTGAGAGAGATGAAAGAGATAGTGAGATTTTTGTGATTTGTTCAAACACATAAAATAGATATACAAAAACACAATAAAAAAAATAATCCGTTCAACATAGATATGAAGATAGAGAAACAGAGAAGAAGAGGAACATAGAGAGAGGAAGAGACGAACATTGGTGATGATGGTCAGGTTCAAGTTCAGATCTAGGCAAGTCCAACTCAGATTCGACTAGTCCAACTCAGAGCCGCTACTAGTCAGAGAATGAGACGGCACTGACGATGGCGTCACTGCAAAGAGAAGAGAGAGAGTAGAGGTGGTGCGGAGGAGGAGGCGACGTCGGTGACTACATCGCTCGCTGCGGAGAAAAGAGAGAGAGTAGAGGGATGAGAGAGAGACATGTGATGTGTTTGTGCTCTATGAGTGTAAACCCTAACCGACACATACATATATAGAGAGAAGGGTAAAATAGTAATTTTACTTCGGGGAACAAACGGGGCCAGGGACAGGTACGGGGCTAGGGCTTGGACACTTATCATTGTTCCCGCCCTGAAACTGATCGGGGATTGATTTTCGAATACTATCCCCGCCTTATCGAGAGTATTTTTCACAAAAAAAACCGCTTAAATCGGGAGCGGAGAGCGAGTCCCCGTGGAGTCTATTTTAAATTGCCATCCCTATATGTACCCATCCCAAAGTAGCCAAGCACTACATATATATATATATATATATGTGCATAAAGGAGAAGGTAGCAAGCCCCAAGCAAACAAACCAACTAACTGCTATAACCAATTAAAGAGTATTATTAGATGTAATATAATATCCATAACGCTATAGAGTTGAAAACTGATGATCTTTTTAATACTCGGTAATATAAAATAAAAACCTACACCTCTGTAATTCAATACAATAATAAAATAGGTTTAATGTTATTAACTTAAAAAGAATATTTGATTTGATTTCTTAAAAGTGAAAATTATTTGTATAAAACAAAATATAATTTATTTTATTAAAATATTATAACAAGGGAGAGAGGATACGATATCACCGTCCCTCTCTCCTGCCATAGCAATAAGAGAAAACTCTAGAGCTAGTAGAGAGAGGCTCTGATTTCTAGAGAGAGAGAGCGGTTTTCTCATTTTCTTTACTCAGAATACCATCATTCATAACTTTACATCTTCTCTTCCTTTGTTTCTCATCCATTTTTTCATCACTATACAAGAGGATGACGACAACAGGATATAGAATGGAGGGGGTTGGAATGGTATTGATATAATTAATTTTCATGTGTTGAACTTTGTTCAGCCAACCAAATATACTTGATTTGTTTGGCTTTGGCTAGCCGAACAAACCAAAATTGATAAAATTTGTCACATTCAATTTTAGTTGTCGAAAAAACCATAAGAAGTTTGGTAGGCCAAACAATCTTGATTTGTTTGGCAAACAAGATGAAAACAAAGTTTTAATATTATTTTTTTTCTCAAATAGTATGAATTTACATAAAAATGATAGAAAATTACACCCAGACATCTCTAAACATCAAAATCTTTTATAAAATCTATTTACAGTTATCATGTATATATATGTTTCAAGTATGATTTTTTAATTTTTTTTAATACTTTTTATTATGATTTTCTTTATGTTCTTATGGTAGATGTGTTAGTAATTGTAGAGGATTGGAGAGAGTGACAAAATGAGAGTTGGTGACGATAGTTGATGAAAGAGAAATGATGATTAACAGAGAAGCAGGGTAGTAGTGGTTGAAAAGGGAAAGAATGGAATAGGTATTATCCACATTAAAGTTTTATATCGTCTAAAAAGAAAAGTTCTCTATTATTTATAAGAACTTTTCTAGCCCTTCAGGCTCACAATATATGCCTACTTTAATAATCTGCATCTTTTTTTTCTTTTTTCTTTTTTTAAAATTTTTTTTTATTATTTTTAAAGCCTTATACATGGAAAAAAAAAAATCAAATTGATTTGATAATCACAATCTTATATTTTTATAATATTTGTTTTAAAAGATGGATGATAAGTATAAATTCAAAAATAAATTATTTTTTTTATTTTTATAAACAAAAATTAAAATAATAAAATAATAAAACTATTTCCAACAAAACAGACCAAAAACTATGTATGTGAGAATTAAGAGCCCGATAAGTTACAATCCTTCTATATGTAAGTAATGAACATGGCCGAAGTGTTTGGTTCTGTTACATTCATGTCCCTGTTTATAGAGATGTGATCTGTTTAGTACGATTGTTATTTAGGTAAAAAATTTTGCCGAATCAATAAATCGGTTTTACTATTTTGAACACTGATATAGACTGATTCTCCAATCAAACCATACTGAATCGAACCGATTGAGATGATTTGGTTGGTATGATATAATTAGTTTATGACCTTTCAAACTTGAGTTACATTTAAATATAACTACTAATCTATATAAAAATATTAAATTAGTTATTTGTTCGCCATTTCAAACATATCAAATCCATCCATTTAATAAATATTTTTAAATCCTAAATTAACAAAAAAAAAAGAAAAAAAGAAAAAAAGTAAGGTTTCAAAAATAATGAGTAAGAGTTAAGATAAAGATGATAAGGTTAATTAATTTATTATACTTATTAATATAATTATATTATTATATTATATATATTATAAATATAATATATGTTGAAGTGGTCGGTTTTGGTTTAATTCGGTGCACAAAGTGCTTGAACTGATACCGAACCGAAAACAGGAAAAAAAATCAAATTTAAAAATCGCACAGACTGATTCTTGTTAAAAAACAAACTAAATATAGACAATTTAATCTAATTCAATCGATTTAGTCCATTTTTTCAATTTTTACATTCCTAAAACTATAGTGATTGTCTTTGACGACAGTAGGGTCCACTACATTTATGTTGAGTGCTTCAAAAACAATAAAGGGCGTATACATTTGTGATTGATGGACGGTAGTGTCAGGTGGTATCCTATTAACACATAAAAATTTCTTTGTGCACTGGAACAACAAAGAAGACGAATAGGGATGTAATCGGTCTGGTACGGTTGATATTTTGATAATATCGGTTTTATTATTTTGAGTACCGATACATATCGTTTGTCCCATCAAATCGAACCGAGTCAAACTGATTGAAACGATTTGGTTCGGTGCGATTTAATTAGTTTAAGACCTTTTAAACTTGAATCACTTTTTAATATAGTCATCAATATATATAAAAATATTAAATTAATTATTTGTCTATCACTTTAAACATACTCAATCTATTCATTTAATAAATATTTTCAAATTTCCAAATTAATAAAAATATAAGCAAACAAAAAAAATAAAATAAATACAAAAGTTTTAAAAATAATAACGAGTTAAAGTTAAAATTATATATCATAAAAGTTTACTAATTTAGATTATAAAAATAATAAGGTTAATTAATCGAGATTAATAATTTATTATACTTATTATTATCATTATATTATATTATAAAATAAATATAATATATTAATACACAAAGTATTTAAATCAATACCAAACCAAAAATAAAAAAATCAAATTAAAAAATTATAGAGACCGATTCTTAAGGGTTGTTTGAGATATTCTAAATAAGTACACTTTTTGATTTTTTATAAAATATGTGTTGAATTTGAAGTGATGTGATAAAAATATAATATGAATTAAACAATATGATATGACTTAAATAGGAAAATGACATTTAAATTTTTTTATTTTTGAGAAGATGCCAAACCTAACTTTATTAAAAACTGACCGAATAATTGGTTCGGTTCAATTCAATTTTCCCCTACCTACACATACCCGAATTACTCTTCAAACTCGCAAAACTCGGTTGGATCTAAAACTAGTTTTTTGGTTTTTTGGGATCAAAGATCTAAAACTAGTCTGCTACAGAGTTTGATCGCTAAGTCGCAAATAGTTTGGTGTCACCAATCTTAAACAAATTTCAGTTTCTTGGATAGCCATCTTCGTTCATCTGCTGTCCCACTTCGTATCTAACATTTGATCAGCGAAAAAGGTACACAAATCTCTCTCTCTCTCTCTCTCTATATATATATATATATATATACCTGCTGTATATTTATGGGCACACACAAATATTCTAGATTAGAGATAGAAGTCTCGATTTGAAAGAGAGAATTTTGATCTTCTTTGTCTTTGTTGGGATCTACACGATTTGTTTTGCTTCCGGGATCGAAACAAAGAGTTGTTTGTCAGTACTTTCTTTTCAGTAGATCTGTATATGATTGAAATGGGTTTGATATATGAAAATGCAAGCAAAGTGATCGCATAGCGGAGTGGATATCGCGTTAGACTCCGAATCTAAAGGTCGTGGGTTCGAATCCCACTGCGATCGCAACCCACCTCAACTCTCTTTTTCATTATTCAGTTTTTGTTTGTTTCTATTTTTATTTTTATTTTTATTTTGGCTCGATTTAACTTGAATTTATAATTTTGTCTCAACTTAGTCCAATACACTTCAACTGTTTTCTTCTATTTTTATTTTGGTTCGATTTTAACTTAAATTTATAATTGTCTTTGATTACAACAGTTGGTATTTTTTAATGTAACCTCAACCAATTTAGTGATATTTTTTATCAAAAAAAACTAACAACACAATGAATTGGACTAAATTAATACAAAATCTAAATTAAGGTTTAAAATTGAGCCAATTGAAATCATTGGGACCAAAATGACATAAAGTGTAGGGACTACTGGTGTAATTTTCCCTTTTGTTTTCGTTCCAACATTTGTGGATTAGGACCAAGTTAAAGTTCGTAATTGTAGGTTTTTTTGTGTTATGTTGTGGGTTTGCTTGGTATGTTCTTAACTTGATGATACTAACATATTTAGCAGTTGATGTCAAAATAACGTGTCAATACCAAATTTTGATTTGACAAAGTGCCAAAACTTTATAATTTGACAATTTTACTTAAATAATACTAGCATTTTTAGTGGTTGATGTCAAATTAACGTTGTCGAAACCAAATTTTGACTTGCCACGGTTAAAATATTATAATTTGACAATCCAATGATGCAAGAGGAATGATATACCATCGGAGATAATTCTTGGAGAATTCATGGCCAAATTTGGGCTTTTCTTTGGTATGTGTTTTAGCACGCCACTAGAGATGCTCAGTGAGTTCAATTGTCTACTCTTAGTTTGTGACTTCAGTATTTATGGCATAGGGCTAAGCTAAATTTTGTGAGTTGTAGAGTTTATGTTTTGTTGTGGGTTGACTTGATATGTTCTGATATTAAATGCTTAGTGAGTTCAATTTTGTGACTCCGAAAAAAATACATGTCTACTATCTATCTACTACTACTTTAAAAGGCTGAAGCAGCCCAACTGTTTTCTATGATTCTGAAAATACCCTTAATAAATTCACAAATTATTAATGCTTTCCAAATGCACTACTAGGAAAATTGAATCCTTTTATGTATCGTTTTATGCCTATTCATAAAACCTGCATTTTACGAACCGTTGCATTTGACAAAGCATTTATCAAAGGGCATCCCTTGACTACCCTACCACTTCCATTCTCTTCAATTCCCTTTCTCTCGTTAAACCCCTATTCTTCTCATCTCTCTTCGGCGTTCTCTTCTATCACCAAAACTAGTCGGGCTCTCTCTCTCTCAAATCGACTTTCTTTCTAAATATTCCTATGTTTTTATATTTGGTCCTAGAGTCCTACAATTGGAGCTCAATGAGATAGCTTCTTTGATAAAATGATCTTACCAAGTTCAATGATTGCTCAATGCCTGGACGATATTTTTCCATTCGACAATCAAAAATCAATCTGTAACGCATTTAAGACCTTCTCAGAGTTCCACCTAACCCATCAATCTACAGCCGCAGCATTGCTCCAAAATCAAGCCATCTTGAGCTTTTGTTGCCAATCACAATGTCAATTTGAAACCACAATAGATATTGTGTTTTCTCTCTCTCTTTGTTTTTCTCTTTTCTTAGAAATATATTAGATCCAATCGGGTTTATGTAGAAAAAGGTATTCTTTGGCTCATTAGATTGGTAATCCAATAGAAACCCACAATAATTAAAGTACATCTTTATCAGATTAGATATGGATGTTGTATGTGTATGTGGATTTTTTTGATGTGGATTACAATTTTATCTTTTGTTTTGTTGTACTGATGCCATCAATTGTATGTTTCAAGTTTTATATATATATATATATATTTTTGTAATCTCAATTTCACTTGTCCCTTTTTTTGGGTTTTGATTTACAGTCACCATTGTCATTATTGGTATATATGTTGATATATTTCTCATATGTTGCTGTAATGCCACAGTCCTTATCAGTCAAAGAAAGGAATGTAATGTTGTTTTAGTGAGAGGAGAATAATAGAAGAGGGGTTTTAGTATGAGAAAGGAAGCTGAAGAGAATGGAAGTGGTAGGGCAATCAAAGGGTGATTATGTACATAGAAATAAATTTTCGTTGCTGCAGTTTTTAGTGCGTGCCATTAGTGCGGCCCTTGTTTTTTTTTTATTTATTATTATTATTTTTTTTTAGATGGTGGTGCCACCCTAGTTAAATAAACATATTAGTTAATTGTTGGAATACTTTTATGGCAATTACTTGATAGTAAATAAATAAATAATAAGCTGAATATAACAGAAAAACTAAACCGCAAAGAAGGCATTAATGTTATTAGAGGAAATATCATTTTGCCCCCCAAACTTTCACGCATTTTTCAATTTGACCCCCAGACTTCTATTCATATCAATTTTACACTCAAACTTTCAAAATTTTGATCAATTTGGCCTCTGTCATCATATTTCGTCTATAATTGGATGGAATGTGCTGACGTGGCACCAAAATTCATTTTGAATTTCATTTCTCTCCCCAAACTACACCTTAAAAATCAATTTGCCTCCCAAATATAAAAAATTAAATTTAAATATCCAATAAATAATTTTTTATCCCAATAATGAAAAACTTAAATTTTAAATAATATATACTTTGCAAAAAAAAATAAAAAATAAATAAAAATCCTCATTTAAAAAGCATGGATAATTCGACAAACATGTCGTACCCGTACAAAGTACTTATCGACGTATGGTATTTCTTCATACGTACCGGGTAAACAAAACTTGTACTCAAATTTTTCCTTGTTAATTTTTGTTGTACCTAAACATATATACTATATATACCCAAGCCATGTCGTATCTCAGTCGAAACAATATTTTTTTCTAGTACGAAGATAAAATTCCTTTTACTAGATTTCTTTTTCATTTTTAGTTTTGTCCTTAGCATGGTTTTAAAATTAAGTTATGGTGTGTAAGTTATTTAATATATTTAATTTTTGTTTATCTCATACCTGTACTTTTGGCATTAATTGTATGTTGGATTTAAATTAAACCATTTAATCAATTTTTGTATTATTCTAAATTGAAAACAAATATTTTTTTACAAACGTATTAAGCTTTATCCATACTCTACTTTTTTTTTTTGGATTTTACCGTGTCGGCGTACCCATATTGTGCCAATACTAGTACTCATACCTGTACCTGTGTTTCATTGGTCTCAAATTATCTTGAGTTGATTCTGGAGAAATTTATTGAGTCGAAAATTTCTTGGCTACTCTATGTGTGTGTACAAGTGCAATTGTAATTAGTTTATTATCCAAATTAATTTCAATAGAATTGATTGACTAATAGTAATTTCAAAATTGAGTGGGAAAAAAATTTAAAAATTCGGTAAGTACTCGGTACGAATGCATGTTTGTTGAAGTACCTATGCTTCATAGTTTCAAGATAATTCTTAATGAGGATTTCTATATTTTTTTAATATTTTTTTTGCAAAGTATATATTATTTAAAAATTAATTTTTTCATTATTGAGATATAAAACTTATTTATTAAATATTTAAATTAAATTTTTTTTTTATATTTGGGGGGCAAATTGGTTTTTAAGGTATAGTTTGGGGGGTAAAATGAAATTCCAAATGAATTTTGGTGTCACGTCAGTACATTTCGTCAAATTTAGACGGAATGTGACGATAGGGGCCAAATTGATCAAAATTTCAAAAGTTTGGGTGTAAAATTGATATTAATCGAAGTCTAGGGGTCAAATTGCAAAACATGTGAAAGTTTGGGGGGCAAAATGATATTTTCTCATGTTATTAAAATAAAAACGCTACTATAAGTCAATGATTACGTGAGTTGTTGGCTACAATTTGTTGTTGCCAAGATTGATATGATAGTTTTGAAAGTTACTAAAAATGTTAGTGTGGCATTTAAAGGCATCGCTAACCTAAGATAGCGACCGCATAGTGAGCGTTTTGTTACAAATATCTTAATTTTTAATGGCTTTTCCTTTTAGTAGCATTTTTTTTTAAAATACCGTAAAAATTCAAAGTTTTCGTAATGATGGTACAATGCCTCCCATTAAAATAATTCTTCTTAGAACTATTTGAATTTAGCACATAGTAGGTGTATGCGGTAAACTAAAAAAGTGCATTTTTTTTACCTACATACACTTATTTGGGTCACATCAATCAACATCTCCCCTCTACTTTTTTAACCACTCTCTCTATTTTTCTACACTTTTTTTAAAATAAAAAGTCAAAAAGTGCACATATTTAGAACATCCCAAACCACCCCTATAAGATTATTTGATTGTATAGTGCTCTTTTATCAGAATCTTACGATTCACGATTCGATTCACGATTCGATTCGTATTTTTTGTAAAATCGATACGAATCTATGGGTGAATCTATTTTGGAAGTGAATCTCTAGTGAATCGCACGATTCACAATCGATTCACGATTCGATTCACTTTTTACGATTAATGTACTTTTTGAAATTATTGTGTTTGACATATTTTTGACTGTTTTTCTCTCTATCTTTTTTGTGAAAAATGACATCATACAACTTCTGATAGCATTTAATACCAAAATAACCAACATATATACGTGATTTATTGTTATTTTAGTGATAATGAGATTTTAATAGGATCCAATCAGATTCAGTCAAACCCAACATATTTTTAACCTTTCTTCTCATTTTTTCCCCCTTTAAAAAATCATAATATATCTTTTAAAGACGTTTAAGATTAAAGTTACACTATAAATTATCTATTGTTATTTTATTAAATTGAATATAATTGAATATTACTTGTGTGAGGTTAGTTATTCATTTTAAAATGTTTTAGACTTTAAAATAAAATATTCTGAATAATTCTTTCTTATTATTTGCTCACTATTACTTAGAAAAGTATGTATGCTCATTGTCCAAATATCAATATCGATGTCAATTATTGTTACTTTGTAAATTAATAGTTTGTCTATTTGGTTATTATCTTTATTAAGAATGGTTGATAAGAAATATCTTAAAAAAAAAAAGGTGAGATGGTAATTTTGCATGGGAACCTTTGTTAATTTCTTACCTATTAAACTACGTGATTATCATTCAAAATAGCATTTTCATTAAATGTTTCATATTCATAAAATATATTTAACATCTAAATGTGTAAATATATGTTTTCAAGTAATTTTGAAAAAGTGACTGAATCTTTACGATTTACGATTCGATTCTATTCACGATTCGATACGAGGCCATTTCAATTCGCGATATGAATCCCGATTTGACAACTATGGTATAGTGTTTGTTTATTCTTCTTTACAGACAAGTTTAGAAATTTGCTAATGAAACATTTCATTGTTGATATAGCCAACGTTAAACCATGATTATCTATAGCAAATTATTCTATATATTTTATTTTATGTATATGGTATTTTATCTATTTTAGGATTGGGTTTGCCATTGGGCAGCCTCATAAATTTTCTCATTTTATTTTTTATAATAAAAAAAATGTGAGTATTACTTCAATTACACAAGTAACAAAGGTATGACAACTATTGGTGTGCTTTAGCCTGTTTGTCATGTTGGTAGATTTTCATACCCTTTTGTAATTTGTTTAATATAATTGGTATGATGCTAAAGTTGTTATTCCCGAAATTTGTTGAGGCTGTTGATGTCCTAATTATGCTGGTGTTGCATGTTCCGGCTATCGACTCTTACAATTGCTATTTGTCAATTTATACTACACAATGAATTATTATGTTAACTGTCAATATCTCGCTTCACTCACTCACAATAACATGCATACATAAAATACAAACTCCTTAAAAATGCTTTTTTATAACTGATAAAACTAATAAAACTTCATAAAATATTCAATTTTAATGGATAATATATATATAATTATTACGTGCACCGCCACTAGTATATATATATATGTATCACAAATATGTTTCAAAAGAAAACAAACTGAAATGAGAAGTGGAGGAGAAGATTTTGTCTGGTCACCGTAAGCTATTCTGACGCCCTTGAACTTTTTTACACAAATATGGCTATTGTGTTGGATTTCATGTTGTTTAATTGCTAGTGTTGTGGCTTCAACATCTTGAATCTATTTAAGGAAAGTTGCTTTCAGTGCGCTTTCCTTCCATTTATTGATAATGCAGTGCTTGTTGGTTTCCTACCACTATATTACCATCTAAGAATGCGAGAAATGTTTGTTGCCAAATACAATTAGAAATTCGGTTTGCGTTCAATTGATGCAATTTGGCGGAGAAGATCATTAAGTTGACAATATTAGCATCTAATATGTATGTTTGATTCGGTTGTTAGGAGTGGTCCACAACTAGCACAATTGAAAGGGTTTGAAACATGATTGTTTTGGTGATTGACTTATCTGGTCTTTTGGTGTGACTGTCTTTATTGTATCCTGTGAAATTATTCTGAGAAGTTGGATGTCTTATTAAAGAAAGTGTGCTAATATTAGAAAATAAGAGAAGCTGGTATCTAGGGAGAAAAGAGGAAGTTACATGAGTTTATCTGTACAAATTTATTTTCTTTAATTTATTTTATTTAATATAATATATAATTCTATATATTTATATAAATATAAAAATTTATACTGTGTTTAAAATAAAGTAAATTATCAATATAATTAACCGAATCGAATTGCGAATTCATTTTATTTTATATAATATATAATTCTATATATTTATATAAATATAAAAATATATACCGTGTTTAAAATAAAGTAAATTATCAATATAATTAAATTATATATATACATGTAAAATCACGTATATCAATTTAACTAATTAATCTCTTCTATATATCTTCATAGTGTGGTGAACAAGACATTTCATGCATTATGTAAAAAAAAAATAGAAATACAACTGAATTGCAGTGAATCGTGTGAATCTAGATGAATCATAACATTCACTCAATTTTCAATTCAACAGCACGATTCGAATCGCTTTGTTGAAACTTGTATTGAATCGTGAATAGTATGATTCTAACACTTAAGGGTGTATGGTTTTGAAAAAAATACATAGATTTATATCTTTTGTTTTAGATGTGGAAAGTGCATTCTTGCGAACCATTGTTTTTTAAAGTCCTTATCTTCATGGCAATTGTTAGAGATGGATCCTCTGTCCTGATCGTCTCCTGTCATCTTATCCCAAACTTCCTTTCTACCACACGATTAGAGTTTATGGTAGCGAGGGGATTTGGAACCAAGAGACACGGGAGAAGTTTGATAGGAGTTCTTGTTTGCAATTACTATGATCTTAGGAGTTCTTGTTTGCAATTATTTTGATCTTAGCTACTTTGAATCTAGAAATTGATCTGATTGTAGTTGAAGGATTTATTTTGGACTGTGTTCTGCTTTTGCAGATGATTGATGATCAAGACTTGGGATTCTTCGCCAACTTTCTCGGCATCTTCATATTTGTCTTGGTGATTGCTTATCATTATGTGATGGCTGACCTGAAGTATGAAGGGAACTGAGAGGGATGCGGACTGATAATGATACTTATAACTCGTTTTTCCCAGTACTCCTTTTTTATCTTGGTGAAATAGTTATGATGCAAGATTGATACGCTGATGAACTCTGCTTTTGTATTTCACATTCGCTGCTTTCAGTGTCTTTCTCTCTCTCTCTCTCTAGCCACTGCAAACTATCAAGTAAGCATGAAAACAGCAGCAAATTTCTTTCCTTCATTGATTTATACTATTTGGGTTCAATTGGTTGCTTATGGAGTCACCTCATGGAAGAATTATTTATAGCATGAATTGCAAAATGATGGTTTTATAGGTTGTCTTCCCCTCATTAGGTTGTTAGAAATCTTTTACACTGCTTTTGAAAGTCATTCCTAGGCTAAGAAGCACGGACACTTCTAAGAAGGTGACGTATTCGTGTCGTGTCCGTGTCGGACACCGACACTCTTTGGACACTCTTAGGACACGTGTCCGACACTCTTCAAAATGTGTCCTAATTTTTAAATTTTTTTAAAGACCCAGACACTCTTTGGACACTTGAAAGACACACATGTCAATCACATAAACACACGTGTCTATCGATTGGACACATATGAAACTAATTATAAGTTTAAACAAAATAACTTAAGATACAATAATAAAACAAAAATCATATAAATTTGTAGAAATTAGTATCATATTGTATTTTGTATTATCTTTGAATGATATATTAATATATATAACATATAATAAATATATAAAATTACATATTTCACGCGTGTCTTCCATGTGTCGTGTCATTTATTTTTTGAAAATTAACGTGTCGGTGTGTCTGTGTCGTATCCGTGTCGTGTCACGTGTCCGTGTCCATGCTTCTTAGTTCCTAGGTTAGTGCTGTGAGGCTAGGAAGTAGATATTGGTTACATTGTAGAACAATTAATTTTCCCAAACTAAAAACATTTATGATTTTTTTGAAAGAATTTGGTGCATAACATTAAAAAAATAAATATAAATAAAGGGCAAATTATGATGGTAGTCCCTATAGTTTGTCTCTAATGTCATTTTAGTCCCTGAAATTTTAATTTGCTTGATTTTAATTCTGAATTTTAAATTTTTTGTCAAACTTACTCAATTGATAATGGGCGTCAACAAAATAGACGGAAAATAAGCATGTGCACTTCACATTACATAAGGGTATTTTAGACATTACATCTCACTGAGTTGACTCACACTGAGTATATACACTGACTGAGTTAGACTCGCTCTTTCTTTCTCTCTCTCCTTCCCCAATCTTTCTTCTCTTTTTCTCCCCTTCCATTGTTCTCTATGTTATCTCATTCTCTAGAAGAACTACAAAACACACAACTCCCTTTCCATTAAAATCTCCACACATCCCCACAACGGGTTTCACGCGACGATCAAAGGGTGTGGGTTTCAAGTGATGATCAAACAAATGAGCGAGGGGTTTCCGCTGACGATCGACATAAATTGCGTTTCAAGTGACGATGAACAGAGGGGTGAGGTATTTCTGCCGATGATCGACAAAGGTCAGGCCCTCCTTCCCCTCATTCAGCTTCTGGCGATGATTGACAGCTCCCTGTTCAGCTTTTGGCAACAATTAACAGAGGTCAGATGCTTCCCTTCTCCCCCTGTTCCTATCTTCTCTTTTTCCCTTTCATTCTCCTCTCTCTCTGCCCTCCCTCTCTTCTCTATTCTTCTCCTCTCATTCCTCCCCTCGTCCTCTCTGTCCAATCAACATGCATCGGCCCGAAAATTCAGCTTCCCCTGTTGTAACACCCCCCAATATGAACACACACACACACATATATGCATGTATGTATTTATGTATACACATGTTTGGTTGATTTGTTGTTTATGTGTGGTGGTGGTTTGTACTGCCTGAGCAAGGAAACAGAGGGCCATGGAGATTTTCAGTGGACGTGTTTCATTTCATTATGTATGTTTGTGGGTTGAAAATATATTTTGTGGAGAGATTAATGAGGCGGAGTAGGTGGTTTGGCAATAGTCAGGGTGGTGGTGAAGCTTGGTTGTGGTGGCCTGGAGGATTTGGTGGTGGTGGTGGGGAAAGGAGGTTTGGATTGGGGAATGTGGAGGTGCTGGTGCAGGTGCTTGGGAAAGGTGCAGGTGGCAATTTAGAAGAGGATGTGGAATGGCGCAGGTGGTGGTTGTGGCTAACTGTTGGTGTTGGTTGGTGGGTTTGACGGAGGCAGTAGTAAGGGTTTTGGTATGTAGCTGAGCAGGTTGTTTCTGTGGTGGTGGCTGAGTGGTAACAACAGCAGTGGTAGTGAGCTGCCAGAGATGAGAGAAATGGTGCAAGAAGGCCCGCTGAATATCTCTCAAAAGAAAAAGGTGTCAGGAATTTACAATTTTCCCCATATGGATATGATAGGGGGCTAATCAAGTGTGCCATTTCCGTTAGTGATGTGTGCCATTTCCGGTAAAATCACTAACGGAAGTTATCGATCAGACTAACTTGATCTATAATTCAAAATTTACGGTTAAAATCAAGCCAATTGAAATTATAGGTACTTAAATGATATAAGGAGCAATATAAGGACAACTGTTGTAATTTGCACAACAATAAACATACGAGAGTGCAAAGAATAAGTTCGAGTAAAGTGGTTCATGTGAAGTTGAAAGAATTTAATTTAATTGTTTATGATATATATTTGCATGAATGTCCTTGTATACTAATGTTTGATTCCCATAAACTGTGAATCTAATTACACCTGCCTCCAGGATGGAAATGGGTGGGCATTTCATTCTTGGAGAATTTGACATTTTCTTGCAGATCCAAGCTTATATGTAATGCTTATTGTTCTTGTTCATCAATTTCTCAAATAATAATAATAATAATAATAATAATAATAATTCTTATTCATTGATATTATGACAATAGGGTTTAGCTACACTACAAGAAATCAGTATTTTTAGAGACTAATATTTAGGGACCAAGTAAATTTGGTCTCTAAAAATAATTTTTTAGAGACAAATCTAAACTTTCTTGATTTGTCACTTGTTGCTTTGTATAAAATTCACATATTTTTTTTTGAGACAAATTAATTTAGTTGTAAATACACTATTAACACTTTTAGAGACCAAATATTTTTACTCTTCCACAATTAAAAAGTCAAGGCAATAAAAATTCTCTCTTCAATCCTAATTTTCCATAAGCACTCTCTCTGTTCAACAGGTTTGCTCTCAAGATTCTCGATCTTACCCTCTCCTCTCTGGCGGCAATCCAAGGCAGATGTGAGATCTATATGCTTGAATCCATGGTAGATCTATAATCTTCTTCAAATGTTTTGCAAATTTGGTGCGTCTCTCTCTCTCTCTCTCTCCGCCTATATATATATATATATATATCTAGATCTATGATTTTATGAGATCTATAAGCTTCAATCCATGGTAGATCTATCATCTTCTTCAAATGTTTTGCAAATTTGGTCCGTTTCTCTGTCTCTGTCTCTCTCTATCTCTCTCTCTCCGCCTATATATATATAAATCTCTAGATCTATGATTTTACAATATTGATCTGATCATCTCTCTCCCTTTCTCTTCATCATTTTCTACATCACTTTCATTTACAAGCTTCAATCAATGGAAAGATTTCATTGCCTATTCATTGAAGAAGAATCTCGATTCCTTTAAGCTCATTGTCGCTTGAGAAAACCATGTCACAATTAATCCTCATGCATGATAAGGTTATTTGTCTGCTAGAATTTTTGCATGGAATTTGAGCTATGTGATTGTTTTTCAGGGACTAATTGCTATTGTGTGTGTAGGAACATATATAGATATATACATGACTTTTCAATTTATGTTATGTTTTACTTTGCTACAAAAGCTTTGGAGCAAACCTTTTGCTTATCATCTTTGTTATTAGTGAATTTTAGGTAACTGTTGTTCACTCTAAACTTTCTAACTTTGCTTGATTCTATTTTTCCAGAAACACTTTTCAGAAAATTCTACTTTCTTGTTTTTTTATTTTTACTGAATTTATTTAATATTTTAAGCAATTTTTTATTTTTTTTAGACATACCTAACATAAATATACCTAAAAAGTAAGAAATTTGCGAAAAAAATCTTTTAAAAATTCACTAAATACCAAAAATACAAAAAAAAATACGAGAATTAAGTACATTTTTTTTTTGGTATTTTTATGTATTTATTAATTTTTTAAAATATTTTTTTACAATTTTTTACTTTTTAGATACATCTAAGTAAGATGCATCTAAAAAAGTAAAAAAAAATGTTGAAAATTTTAAAAATATTCACTAAAAATAAAAAAATACGAAAATAAAAAAACTCAGTTTTCAAAAAACTTAATCCAAAAAACTCAAACCAAACACACTGATTTTTATTTTTATTTTAAAATCTTTTTTGTTCCCTGAGAGTTGTGACTAATGTATGTGATCCAATTCTTTGAGAAAAATATATGAATGTCATATTTTCCACCCAACAGAAGTTCAAATTATCTTGAAGTTAGTTCATTTCAAAAATTGAGGTTTCAATTTTGTGCATTTAAATTATTTTAGATTTATTTTTGGTGTTGAATTTATATTAAAAAGCAAATTAACATAATAAACCCTATGTTTTTTTTTTTTTTTTTAAAATAAGATTACAATAATGGGTAGTTAAATTATTGGTAATTAGATTATTCTCATGTAAACTGGTTCATGTAAGTTTGTTCTTGTATGCTGCATTTCATATTCAAATTATTCTATGAATGCAATTTTCCTGTTTTATGCTGTTAAATCTCCCTACATTTTATTTATTTTATTTATTTTTTTGACTTGGGTTCTGAGAGTTTTGGGACCCATGTTGTTTGCTAATCTTGATCGTATATCTCCAAGCTCTGTTTTGTAAGCTTCACTTGCTTGTTGCATCTGTTAAAAGATGTCTGATTTCTTGAAAATTTTATGAAACAATGCTAATCTGAAATTGCTGAATAATCAGTTAGGCAATTGCTGGCTTGCATAGAAATGGAGACTGGTCTATTCATTAAGAGATTTTAGATTTATGTAGAGGAGGGTCAGTGATTATTTGATTTAGGAATCTGGATGAAGAAATAGGAAGGTGTAAAGCTTGGATATATTTGTATCATGTTATCGTGAGATGGATTGGGATGATCTGGCTCTCTAATCCTGCTTTTGATGTTTTTTGCTTGTTTTGAGATCTAGTGCGAGTGGTGACTTGGAAAACTCCATTAAAATTGTTTCTGCAATTGAGTTTTTCCGATCAATGTCACTTCCACATGTCAGGATGAAAAGATTTGCATCATGCATACTGCACTTGGCCATATATACTGACAATTGTTGCTAATCTACAGATTCATATAATGGTTTATAAATGCGTATTTTGGCACATTAATGCACTCTTTGTAAATCATTTTATTAAGATATTTTCTTGATATCACAATTATGGTTCTAAATTTGTCAATTATTTCTTTACAAGATGTGTGTTCTTTCTCTACTTTATTGATTTCTAAATTGAGTAATTAGTTTCATGGGCTTTGTGTTTCAGATACATTGTCAAAGACATTCTTGGCCATGGGACATTGGGGCAGGTTGCTAAATGCTGGGTTGGAGAAACCAAAAGTTTTGTTGCTGTAAAAATTATTAAAAATCAACCTGCATACTATCAACAGGCACTGGTTGAAGTTTCTATTCTGACAACTGTAATTAATTCTAATTCAGCTGGGTTCTATCATAGATAATGATTATGAATATTTCTGTTCATGCTTATTTTCTGTTTGCAGTTAAATATGAAGTTTGATCCAGAGGATAAGCATCACATTGTTTGTATTTATGATTACTTTGTGCATCAGTGTCATTTATGCATCGCTTTTGAATTGCTTGATACCAATCTGTCAATATGGAACAACAATATGTAATATACTAGTACCTTAATTTATGGATGAATCTTGTTTGAATTTTGTTCATCATTATCATCAGTGGTGTAAGTTTGATTTTTGCTGCATGAAGCTGGCATTTTTTAGCAAAATAATGTGATCAGTGTAACATTATTATCTATATATATACACTACATATTTTTTCTTTGAGAAAAACGTAAAGAAAATGTTTGATAATTACCAATAGAATTAAGCCCATCTTCATCATCAGCCCTACACAAAATACCTCAAAACACACTTGTATTGCATGAATCAATTGATTTGGTTTGGTGGGTCCACTTTGAATTTGAGCTTTGTTTATTTATTTGGGTTTTGAGTGATTTGGTGAAGGTGAGATTTTTGTACCTTTCATTATTATTATGATTGAGATTTTTTTCCCAGTCACATATTTTCATATGATTTTATTTCTCAATCTCTCGCCGCTTTTTTGAGATATAAAATCATATAATAAGGGCTCTTGTTTCAACTAATTTCTTTGTTTCCTTTTTGTCACAAATTGAATAGTCTTTTGAGGTTGCATGGTTCCTAATTTTTCTTACATATTTAATTTTTAGTTACTGTTTTAGAAAACGAAACTTGCTTTGTTTTATTTATTTATTCATTTATTTTTAGCTTTGACTCTCATTGTATTATCTACATATATTTATGTAGAGGAGAAATATGTAAACTGTGAACGAAGAGATGGAGGTACTTGTGAAGTGTAGAGGAGACCCCCGTTGAAGAAAATAAAGTTTCATAAAATGCTTATTGTTGAACTCTTGCCCATAAAATTACACCATCAACCTCTGCTCCACAAGCGCTTGCACGGTTGGTACAATCAAACCTCTGCTCCTTCACATCTTTACGTATACATATATTCATATATCTATATGATTTTCTGTGCTTGCTTTTTAACCATTATTGCTGATATTCAATTTAATCATCCGAATAATCTACACATTCTGTTATGCTTGAATGGTTAGTGTTTGCTTATAATTTCTAGCTCTATATAGCACCCAAAAAAACATATATGTTTGGCTGATTGCTTACTGTATATTAAGATCATAACTCAGAATTAATGGAAAAAAGAGTTAATTGTTGAAGCTTTTATCTTGGTAGATTAAATACATTAGAATGGATTCAAAGGATTGAATGTGAGCCAGAAAATCTTGGTCTTGCCTATTAAATGAGTTGGTTTCTCATCATCTTTGTTTGAGCAATTGATGTGTAGTAGTAGTGGTTCCTTGTGCGATATATTACTCAGTTTTATCTTTGTGCAATATTTTATCAACTTGAAGTTTGAATCTGCATTCTTCTCATTTCATTGCCATAAGGTCTTCAAAGAGGTTTTATTTCATGTACTGCCTTATACCCGTTATCCAACTGAATGATTTTTCAAATCTTTTATTGAATTTTTTAGCTGCAGATTCTTTTTGAATAAAAAAAAAAATCATCATTTTTTGTGTTATGAAGTATGGACACGGACACGTGACATGCAACGAACAATACACGGACACGCAGACACGCAAATTTTCAAAAAATAGGGAAAACGGCATGCTGGGTACATAATTAAATTTATTTATCATGTCATAAAATTATTATAAAAAAATTAAAAGGTAGAGAAAATAAATAAATGAAGAAATAAACTAATCAACCAAAAAAAGAATATAAATAAATAATAAATAAACAAAAAAAAAAGAATATAAATAAATAATAAATAAACAAAAAAAAAAGAATATAAATAAATAATAAATAAACAAAAAAAAAAGAATATAAATAAATAATAAATAAACAAAAAAAAAAGAATATAAATAAATAATAAATAAACAAAAAAAAAAGAATATAAATAAATAATAAATAAACAAAAAAAAAAGAATATAAATAAATAATAAATAAACAAAAAAAAAAAAAAAATCATCATTTCTTGTGTTATGAAGAATGGACACGGACACGTGACATGACACGAACAATACACGGACACGCAGACACGCAAATTTTCAAAAAATAGGAAAAACGGCATGCTGGGTACATAATTAAATTTATTTATCATGTCATAAAATTATTATAAAAAAATTAAAGGTAGAGAAAATAAATAAATGCAAAAATAAACTAATCAACCAAAAAAAGAATATAAATAAATAATAAATAAACAAAAAAAAGAATATAAATAAATAATAGAGATAGAGAGAAATGTCAAAAAAAGAAAAAAAAAGAACAATATAAAAAAGGATATCAGAGAGAGAGAGAGAGAGAGAGAAAGAAGTCAAACGAAGAAGAAGAAGAAGAAAGAGAGAGCAGATCGAAAGAGACAGTGACTAAGATACAGAGATTGAAAAGCAGAAGAAGATTGAAAGAAGAAGGTCAAAAGAAGAACATACCTTTGCAAGAGCAGCGAGTAGCCTGCAGCCTTTTCTCAGCCTCGTCTCTTTTTGTTCGAAATCAAGGTTAGGGCTTGGTTTGATTTCTGTAATTTTTGTTTTTTACAAATTGACCCACACTTAAAATTTCAAAAATTTTGTTTTTGACCCCACGGTGTTCGAAATGTGTCCATAATGTGTCCAGCTGCAAAAAAATGAAAAAAAGGGACACCTTCTACGATGTACACGTGTTCACCGTGTGTCCGACGCGTGTCCGTGTCCGACACATGTCCAACACTGATATGCAGCCCTCAGGGAGGTGTTCGTGCTTCATAGTTTTTGTGTGTCTGTGTGTATATCAATAGGTAGACCTTAATCTATTAGATACGCAAACCATCCATGATGTTATGAGCCCATGATTATTACCGGTCAAAAAAGAAGTTGATAGAAATCAGTTATCTATCTTTATGAACTGCTTCGTAAATTGATACGGAGTATTCATCCTAATGTATTCCATATAGACAAGTAACAAGTCAAACACCCAATGGGGATGAAGAAGAATTAGTAGTTATCATTACTTCATCTCTACTCTGTATTCATTCTCTCTGTCTCTGATATTCATTCAATCTTTATTCTCCATTATCTCCAGCCTTTGTATTTTTCTTCCGATGAGAAGAACGACTGACTGGGCACCACCATCTGTTGAGGCAATTTTGATGACAACCATGATCAGATTGTGGTATCCTTTCATTCTTTCATATTCTTTACATTCAATTAGGAATTTTTTTTTTTTGGCAGTTTGACTGGTAAAATCCAGTGAAGGATGACTGCAGACGAGTGCAATCAGGTAGAGAATGAAGTCAATGCCCCCTTTTCTTAACATGTTTTTTTGTTTTGTTTTTTTTTTTAATCCCATGCATTTGTTTGTCATCTTACTACTTTGATTTAGAAACACAATTTGTATTAATTGTGGTGGTTTCATAAACCGTCATCGATCGGAGCTATGTGAATCAAAAGCAGGAACAGAATCCTTGATGTCATCCTCACAAAGGTATTATTTAATTGTAGTTATTTATAATATTTATGCTTTACATATTCTTTGGAGGTAATTTTTGGTGATATATTAAATTATGTTCATTTGGCTATTATGTTTGAAAAGAGGTAATTAAAAAAAATAAAAAGACATACATCATTTTGACGTTAATTTTAACTGTATGGACATCAAATACTCACTGCAATATGTGGATTAAGTTTTGGGTAAACTTCACTTTACCCCCAATGGTTTGGGCAAGGTGCGGATTACCTCCTTAGCATTTTGAAATCGCCACATAATACCCCTATAATTACTGGATTGAAGTGCACACTAACTTCTATTAACAGAAGATGTAAATTGATAATTATACCCACATCTTTATATTCTTCTTCTCATCTTAATCTTCTTCATCTTCTTTTCAGTTCTCCTTTTTCTCTTCTCCATTCTTCTTTCCTTTTCACAAACCCAAAAGGTAGAAGGTAGAGATATGTATGTATATATATTCTTCTTTTGAATTAAATAAATAAATAAATATATATATAGTTTAATTCAACTATGCTTTCAATCCAGTAACTTAATCACCTACCAACTCAAAATCCTAATCTTAATCAGTTCAATTTTGGCTATGGCGACAAGCTTTCCAGCAAGCATGAAGGGGAAAAAAGACTTCAGCTGAGCCATTTTTCATGTCTCTTGATCCCAATCTTTGCCGTCGCCTTGACCAAACCAAATCTCCGCTTCAGAAGGCTTTCCTCTTCCATTATTAAAAATGACCATGTTGGGGATGAGTAGGGCAGGAAAGGAGAGAGAAAAGTGGTGATGGCAAGTAATCTATATATATATATATATATAGAACATTTTGTTCCAAATAGAAGAAATGCTGGGAGTATTATTTCGTGTTTCCAAAACACAGAGCAGAGTATGTACCACGGCACCACCATTCATGGAATGAAGTTTTGAACCAACAACTCAACCTCCAAATACAAAAGACGAAAGATATCCCAAACCAGATTGCATCATTTCCAGACCATAACCCAATGCCATTAATTTGCAAACCAAATTCCATATATATATATGTGTGCGCGCGCACGTGCGCGCGCTCGCGCGTGTTGAACTGATGCTCAATTCCAAGGGCTTTCCTTTTCACAAACCCAATTCCATATATATATATATATATATATATATGGGTAATATATGATTGTTATTATTTAATTGTAAGAGATGAGCTGCCATTGATATCAAGTTAAGATAGATTTTAATGGAAATCATTTAATTTCTATGTATATATATGAGCGCTATTATTTAATTGCAGAGTAGAGAGAGAAACAATAGAAATAAGGGGAGAGAAAAAATAATGGCATCTTTGGTAAATTTAAAGATGTAAAAGGGTATTTTTGTCTTAAAAATTGACTTGTTCTCTACAGAGGCACATGGCTCTCATAGTCTGTTATTTTGGATGGAAATATTAACTGTGCGTTTTAGTCTACAAACCTTATGGGGATTATGTGATGATTTCAAAATGTCAGGAGTGATCCGTACTTGGCTCAAATCACAGGGGGTAAAGTGAAATTTGCCATTAAGTTTTTATTGTAATTGAATGGTTTAGAAGTATTATATATATATATATATATTTCTTTTTTGATTGATGGGTACTTGTACTAAGGTATGTTTTTTTTTATGGTTTTACTGGGTAGTTATGGTGCTGACCAATGTCTTGAACAATTCTTCTCATTGCCATTTTTGGTTTGTTCTAATTTTTGCTTTGATCACATTAGAGGCTGCCATCTTTGAGTTTTATTTTCTTGTAAAATTTTACTTTCTGTTCATTATGGTTTGGGAATTGAGAGCTTTGATGAGTATGCCAATTTTTTATTTTATTTATTTATTTTCAAACTGAGTTTTAGCGACGAAAATATGTCATAAAGAACATAATTTGAATTTTAGTGACCAAATATATTTGTTGTTGAAAATGTCATTATTTTGTTTTTTGTTTTTTGTGACCAAATTGGGACATTTTGTGACGAATATTAGCGACTAAATTTTTAGTTCTGCAAAATAAATCAAACATTTTGTGACCAAACAAATTACGTAACTAATTGTCATTTTCAGTGACATTTTTGAAAATTCTTTGCTAAAAGTCAAATTTGACTTTCTTGAGCACACTTTTAGTGACATTTCTGGTGACGAATTTTTTTTTATCACAAAAAGTATTTAGCGATCAATGATTTTAGGGGCTAAATAATTAGACGCGAAATGTTTCATATGTGGATACAATTTTTAAGGATCTTAAAGATTGTTGTGTAGTTTATATTGATGATATATTTATCTTCTCTAAAACCAAGGAGGAGTATAAGAAACACTTAAAATTACTTGGTGAAAGATTCCAAAAAATGGAATTATTTTGTCTCCAAAAAAGATTGAATTAGAAAAAGAATCAATTGAATTTTTGGGAATAATTTTAGACCAAAAATGTTTAAAATTACAAGAACATATTTTGTCCAAAGTACGAGATTTTCCTAATACTCTTGAAAATATAACACAATTACAGAGTCTATTAGGCATTTTAAATTATGGATGAAATTTTATTAAAAATCTTTCAAAAATAAAAATTCCTTGGTTAACCAAATTAAGGAAAAATGTTATTTTTGAATGGACAGCAGAAGATGTTGCTTTAATTAAACAAATTAAAGAAAATGTTAAAACTTTACCAGATGTTTATCTTCCTAAAACAGGTGATAAATTAATTTTAAAAATAGATGCCTCAGAAGCATGCTGGGGATGTGTTCTTAAAGCAATACCAAGTAATTTATTGTATGATAAAGAGATACCTTTATCAGAAAATGAGATTAGACCAAGAAAAAATTCAATATCCATAAAATTACAAAAAGAAGAGTTAATTTGTGGATATAATTCCGGAACATTTAAACCAAATGAACAGAAATATATTATTTTCGAAAAAGAATTACTTGCAATAAAATTGGTAATAAAGAGTTTTCATATTTATTTAGCCCCAGAAAATTTTATTGTACGCACTGATAATAAGGCAGTAAGAGATTTCTTGATCAATAAAAAACTTATTGAACAAGGAAGAAGATTAGCCTGGTATAATAAAATTTCTGAATATACTTTTGAAGCAGAACATCTTAAAGGTACTAACAATTTTCTTGTAGATTTTCTTAGCATAAATTGTTTTAGAAAATTAAATTGCTAAACAAGTAAATTTAATTTTTGCAGAAGACCTCTGGACCAAGAGGAAACAATGGATAAGGGTAAACAACCCGCTCAAGGAGATTGGGTGACAATTGCTAAAAAAGCAAACCCCAAAGAAGAAAAAGTTTATGTTGTGTTTGCAGGAAAACAACCTGGAATTTACAGAGAATGGAATGATTGCAAAACACAAGTTTGTGGATATTCAGGAGCGAGCTATAAAGCATATGATAGCATGACCAAAGCTAAAAAAGCTTTTTACAATGCACCGGCTATGTCTGTTTATCAAAAGAATTTTTGTCAAATGAGAACTAACCCAGTTCCAACTAATATTCAGACGTCTAGACCAGATGAATCTGAAATAAAAGATTTTTTCAATCCTGGTATATCCAGAGAAATTTATACAGCACTCAATGGAGTTTGGAAAACTCACATTGTTGACAACAAAGTGAAATTTCGAAAACACGTGGGAGTTTTGGCCAACAAATTAGCTGAGCAAACAGCTAAATTAAAAGATTTACAAAATCTTTGTTTCAATATTCTTAAACAAATGAATTGGAATGAAGATTTTAATTTTGAAAAAATAAACAATTTTCTTCAATTATCAGATCTCATATCAGATGAGTTTTCTGATCCAATTTTTGAACAAATAAAAAGAATTTGTCTTTTTGAAAAAGCAAGAACTTTGCCTCCAAAAGAAATTTTTATGTTAATCAAAAATCGGGTTGAAGTTCATCATGATAAGATTAGACAAATCTTAGAACGATTTTATGATAAATTAAATCTGAAAGATGGAATTCTCAAAATAACCATCATGGCAAACCATGACATGTGGTTTTTTGATGATATAGATTGGGGAATAACTAATCAAGTTATTTTTCAAATTTTAGATCCAATTCAATGGATAGATTATCCAATGATCATCAAAACAATGCTCTCATGGATAGTAAAAGGCTTTCGATGGAGCAAATATTTTACTTTTTGGATCTCCAGTACTGTTGGTTGGCGAGAACGAGAACATTTTTTTCCAACCATACCAGATTTGGTATCTTAAAGAAACTGAAGATTTTGAATTTGAAGATGATTATTTAGATGAAGATCACCGGAGAGAACGATTGGAAAATATCCAAAAACTTTCTTTAACAGAATATTGGATAGACAGTCTAATATCTGTTTCACAAGCAGCGTCCAACATCCATGGCTCAGCAAAATTGCCATTCATGGTTATAGATGGAAGAATATTATTTGTAACCCATTTTCCCATAACATATCAAAGGTCTCCAATGCAAATTAATGAGGCTCTTGACATGTTAATAAATCTCAAAAAGAGAAATAATTTGGATCTTCCGTTGGAACTAGCCATGACCGCGGATGATGTAGAACATTTCCGGAATGGGCAATGCAGCCAAGATCCGGATTCCCCTCCATCAGAGACTGATGAAGAATATCACAATCTCATCAACAGGATGGAAGCATGGTGGACCCCACTATCACATGCAGTTGTCTCCTGATCGACTCCAACCTTATCCAGGACACGTGGAGCAACCTGCATTATTTGGCGGAAAGCGATCAGCCACATCCTTTCAGCCAACTCTACACGACAAATCAGCTCAGCCAAAGCTCAGTCTATCTCTTTGAAAATCGAGGAGGATAGACAGTGTGTATCAGTGTATATAATTGTAAACACTGTAGCAAAGAGCAAATAATTGTAGTCCTTTTGTATTTATTTTTGTCTCTTTGTATTTACTTTTAGATAGATTTTTCAAAAAGCCTACGACTAGGCTTGCCTAACTAGTTAGAAAAATTGG